AAATTTCTTATTACTTTATTGTTCTAGATTTCTTACTACTTCTTCGTGTTCCTTTTTTTTTGTCTGTTAAGATTTTAAATGAAATTAATTATGGTGATAGCATTTACATTTTCCTTTAAATGATGATTTTGTTATATACTCATAATATTGTTTCTTGATTTTTATACTGTCTATTACATATAGGTTATTTCATATCCTTTTAAAAAAAATTCACCTTTCTTCTTTTAGATATGGTTTAGTTTATTGCTATTGCTCCATATTTTCTTTTATTTTTTTGCTTATTTCATTTTTCACTCTAAGTTGGTTCTTATTTTCTATTAGTGAGAAACCATGATGATGTCAATTCAGTGCACGGTTACTTTCATCTTCCATTCTTTCTTATTTTTTTTCTATTTCTCTAATAGGCACACAATCAATCTCACAATCACCAATTTGTCAGGTTGTTGTGAATCATCAAGTTCTTCTGTTTATGGTTACTGTCATCATGTTTTCTATCATTTATTTGTTTTATGAATGCTTAATCTTTATTTTAAAATCTTTTAATTGTGCAGCATGTCCTCATTAAACTATTTCAAAATAGAAGATATATCACGTATTAATTATTATTGTTGCTTTTGATTTAAAACTTTCTTTCGATGTCAATATATATCACATATTAATTTTAACACTTTCTATCAATTTCAATTTAATATTTTTTTCAATTAAATTAATTACGTTCATTTACGTGTTTCTCAAGTTTAGTCCTTTTTTTACAATGATTTTTGTGTGTATTATTTTTACAATAAATTATATTTTACTAAACTTTACAAAAAAATATTGTTTTCAAAGAATTTTTTTTATCCAAAATCAGGTGTTAGCCCTTTTAATCTATAATATTTATGGATTTGACTTAATTTCTGATGATGTACAAAAATCAAATTTTATTTTATTTCTTTTTTTTTATCGTCAAATTAAGATTCAAGAAGATTTTTCAATTATATAAAGAGATTAATACAAAGAATTTGAACATGTATTTTGATAAACAGGTAAGTGATAATATATATTTTTTTTAGTTTTTATTATGAAACTTTATTATCATGACATTTTCATAATATTACTTATATTTAACTTTGAGAAGTTATGGAATATTTGAACCAATATTCACTTTTAATAATTTGCCAAATTGACAACAAGGTTAAATTTAATTTAAAAGTGACATCTTCATATATTTTTTATTACTTATTTATTTAATTTAAAATTTATTTATTGCAAATTCACCATTTAAAAGTATATTCTATTGGATGAAGTTCTATAGTAATAGTGAATAAAACTCAACTTTGAAAAATAGTGAAAAAAGAATTGTTGTCTCAAAAATTAGAAAGGTAATCTAATAATATAGTCATAAAAATATCTTATAATTATATAAAAATATAGTTATAACATTTCTTCATTTAGATCAATTCTAACTCATATTTTTTAATAATATTAGGACACTTGAAAATGCAAGATCAACTAATATCTGTCTATTTACAATTTTTATGAAAATCAAAATATCTCCATTTTTTAGGTAGTAGTTATTTTTTTTTTCATATACTATAAAAAAATTACATAAAATGTTAATATGTCATATTGATATAAGACATTGTATTATTTATTTTTTTATTTTTTTAAAGTTAAAAAAATTATGGATGACTTATTCTATAAATAATTAAAATTTATTCTTGAAAGGTAAGAGACTATTCAATTTAATTATTTATTAATTGTAATATATGTTTTCTGCCATGTTAATGTTAACTAGAAATAATAACAAAATGATATTTATTTTTTTTCATAAATTGTAAGGAAGCTAAAAATCATTCTAAAGTTGAATCATCATTTGGTCTTCCTATTAAGAAAATTTTATGATTGCAAAATATCATGTTGTATGTAAAGTACATATACATATATGTGTATATATATATATATATATTACTTTAATCCATGTTTGCAAATATAATTATGTAGAGCATAATTTTTTTATCTATATTTTAACAGTTGTTATATAGAAAATAAATATAAACTAAAACTAAATTGAAACTATTTAAAAGAAAACAACTGATTAAACATATTTTAAATATAAACATTTAAAAAAAATTGTTAAATATTACAATATAATTAATATGCATTTCATCAATGAATAATAATAATAATAATAAATCATATAAAAACTGTAAAATTATTTACATCAATATATGCTAACAAATGAATTCATTTTAAAGATGAATTATTTTAAATTTTAAGATAAAATACATATAGAAGCACGAAGTGCCTTAACCTCGCTAGTTATTAATAGAAAAGAAACATTTTGTATTTCTATAAATTTTGTTTAAAAATAATATAAAATAAAAATAGATATAATAGAGGCTAAAATTTATGAATCAAATTAAATAATATATAATTAGAGAAGAATATATAACACAGTTCTCAACGGAGATTATTTGATCGTAGATATTTTGTACCAACATTATAAGATAAAGAAATAATCTTAAATAATAATAAAATTAAAAATGATTATAAAATAAAGAAATTATTATTATTGTTAAAGTGGACAATTAATTTTTTTATAATTTTTCTTATTTTACTTTTAAAAGATATAATGAAAAATATATAATAAAAAATATAAATATAAAAAATGTAGAAAAGAAACAGAAATATCATTTATATAATATAGATAGATTATAGAATTACATATATTATAGATGTATGGCTGGAAACAATGAACTAGCCATCCTAGCGGTCGATTGATTAAATGGAAAAAGATACGTGCAGCTAATTATTAACAAGTCACAAATCAAACTCGTACTTATGTCACAAAATTTAAAACTCCTACTTATCATCAAGACATTATTTTACCCAAAAATATTACGCAAAGAAAACCTGATATAAAATAAATTTATATTTAAATTAATTTATCTTAAAACATTTAATATCAATACTATAATTGACATACTTATAATATTTAAAAACTTGATGTAAAATTAGTTAATATAAAGATACTTATAATCTTAGTAAAAATAATAATAATCCTTTTCTTTTTCCATTTTGCTCTATGCATGTAACCAAAAAAAAAAATATTTTGAAAAATAACTTAATTAATTTTGCATTATTTATAACATAACATAATTTCAAAGTATGCATATGAAACCTTATATTTATTTTGACATATTTCAATCATATTTTAAGGATATAAAAATTATTTAATATTAGAGAAATTCTATAGTACCCATGTTATTTCACTAATATTTTAAGAACTCACATTAAACAAATATATGATATAAATAAAATTTGACTAAAAATTATTTCCGTGGAGAATTATACTTAAGCACAACAGAACGTATAACTATATTTACAAAATTCTAATCGCATGTTTTATGTTATTAATTGATGTTGTAGCATGTGGTTTTACACCAGTGCGTATAACAATGCTTTCAACAAACATTTATTCAATTTATTTTTTGATGTGCTATGGCCTGTTATTTTTTATTTTTCACACGTATCAATCTTGTTTTAAACACACCAAAACACTAAATATAGATACTTCGATCTATCATCCGTTGATAAAAATATATATATAAAAAAACTTATATATTTTTTTCTTCAAATTTAAGATAAATTTATTTTTAGTCATTTAAATTTAAAATTATTATTTTTAATTTTATAATTTTAAAAAATATTTTTTGAGTTATTATACTCAAATTTTATTTGAAAAATTATAAATATTATTATATAAAATTTATCGACTAATGTCCCTGTTAATGAATATATTATATTAAATCTTGATATTATATAACTATTTTCATGTGTAACTTTTAAATATATTACTGATGAACCGAAAGATTAAAATAATATTTTTAAAAATTATAGACTTAAAAAATAATAATTTTAAAATTAAAAAATATAAATAAATTTATTTTAAATTTTAAAGATTAAAAATATATTTAACACAATAAATTTAAAAAATGTCATGATGTATATATTAATTCTAACCAATTATAGTAAAGAAGTCATAGTATTAATAGGAAGGTCATAAAGTTTCGTTTTCAGAGATGAACAAGTCATACGCTAATACTTTCTATGTTCTTTTTCGTTCGGTTGAATTTTTAATAAAATTTGTTTTTATTTATTTTTCATTTTTTAGTTTTAATATAATATTAATTATTATATTATTAATTATATCATTATCTTTCATTTAATTTTTAATTAATTTGCACATGATAATTAATATATATATATATATATATATATATTATGAAGAAAAATAAAAGAAGGAATGATAAAAACAAAATATTAAAATTATTTTATAAAAATACAAAAAAAATTATTAATTTTTTTGATGTGTAAAATAATTTTAGAGGACTATTGTAAAGAAATAAAAGTAATATTTTTTTAGAAGTTAAATTATAATGAAATGTATACATATACAGCAACATTTATGCTAAATTAATTGGTATATACCACTAGATAATTACGACGTATTGCTTTATTTAGCTAACTTAGTCATATGTAGACAAAGACGTTACAACTCTTATTCATTAGAACTAAGAAAAACAATTAATAATTAAATTTCATTTAGAATCCCATCTTTGTGACTCACACACACTCCTAGGAGACTTCCAAGTTTCAACGGTTCCCTCTACGATATAACCGAGATTTCACTATTCACTTTTTTTTAAAAAAAGAAAAGTCTCACTAACACTAACCACTCATATATTAATTTCTCTAATTTGTTATTTAAAGTTATAATACACCACGTAGAAATAAAAAAAAAATTTAAATCTATTTATAATTTAATATACACATCCCTCATCTGTCATTTTTTTCTTTTTCTGATATTTCATATATTAATTATCATTCCTTTCTCTTCTTTCTAAAAGAAAATAATATTAAATTTTGAAAATAAAACATTTTCTTCTTGTGAGAAGAAACTAAGACACGACAACATATGTTAAATTAATCGTTACAAATGATAATCTTGCAATGTTTTAGAGTTGAAGAAACGGACTAATAACGTGACCCCCCTCACAAACGACGACGAGAAATGAACAAAATAGTAGCCAGCGAATAACCCAATAATTCAGCAAAAACGTTTGTGTTACTCTCAGGTTTCATCACCAACATCTAATTCCATTGGTTCTTTTTTTCATTAATAGGAGGTCAATCAGCAAGAAATCCTCACAATCTCTGAAGGTGGGTGAGTGAGTGAGTATTACACCATCATAGTAGCTAGAAGATGGACATGCCCGAAAGCCAAAACATGCCAAACATGTCTAATAATGTGACGAGGAATATGAACATGATGAGTTTCTATTGGGGCAAAGATGCAATAGTGCTTTTCGCAGGGTGGCCAGATCAAAGTGCTGGCATGTACTTCTTAGCCATATTGTTTGTGTTCATCCTAGCCATGACCACTGAGGTGTTAGCCAACCAGCCACTCATCAAGCCAAGGACTAGTCCCCTTGTGGGAGGGATGGTTCAAGCAAGTGTCCATTTGGTTCGTGTTGGCTTCACTTACTTGCTCATGCTTGCTGTCATGTCCTTCAACGGCGGAATCTTCATAGCTGCCGTCCTTGGCCACGCCTTCGGCTTCTTCATCGCCAAGTCTCGTACTCTTGCCGTCACCGATACGGAAAAAGACAAAGACTCTTCCGTCACAAACCATGTTTGATCTTCACTTCACCAAAGTCAATTTCATCTCTCTCCACAAAGTTCTTTACATTAGTAACGCCTGATTAGAAAATCAAATTTCGGTCAACATGTTTAAAGAATTCAACTATTTATCAATTGTGTTGGACTTTGTTGGTCATTGGCATGTTTTTGTTAAAACTTCTTTAAATTTGTTTATTATAGATTTAAGAGTGGCTTGGCGATGATTGTGATTGTGTTTGTTAAACTTGTTCCTCTATACTGTTGTGTGTTAAGATAATTTTCTGGCTTTGTGTGTATGTTAATGAATTCTCTTGATTATGCCACTTTTGAGCTCTTATGGTATTCCACCACTCTTGCGTTGGAAATAAAAATTTTATTTCCAACATGTTATGCTTTGGAAATCTTGTGAGAATTTGATCATGTGTAAACCTGTTGAGCTAGACAAGATGTGACCAAATGTTTACACGACTACATCACGTATCGTGGCCACTATATTGCGATTATGATCTTATCTGCAACTATATCAGATTGCAATTACGGTAAAATCGTTAATCACATATTTTTTTACAATATAATGATGTTGCTGTTGCAATCCGTAATAAATTTACAATACAAATATTACGTGGGAATTAATTTAACTATTATTGTATTTCTTTTACTTTTAAATTAATTTTAAAATAAATTAAATTATTTATTAAAATAATAAAATATTTTAAAAAATATAAATATATAAATTCTTAAAATAAAATATATATTAATAATTACATTTTTTTTTATATTTAGTGCAAATAATTAATAACTTCATATCATAATTTAAAACAATGGCACAGGCTCAAGCTCAATTTTGTGGAGCAGGCCATCTAGCCCAACAACTGTTTTCTTGCAGGCGAATGGAATCGGTCTCTTTGCATCAGAGGCTTTTGTTAAACTTGTGTGGCGCCACTTGTGTTAAATATATCAAGTCAGATATTGATTAAAATTTATGGAGAAAAAAACAAACTATTTTATCATAATAGTAAATCATTTTGCCATAATTCAAAAGTTTTGTGTTTGATTTTTGTCTGTATTAAAATAATGATTGATTAATAAAAATTATAATCTTAATATGAATTGGCTTTTAATTTTTAAATTTGAAACATTATATGAATCATATCTTCATAGGGAAAAAAAATTAAATAAAGATGTTGTTGTCCTGGCTCATTTCACTAATTTTGATTATCTCTTAGTTAAATTCTAGAGCTTTATATAATCAAATATTAGTATAATTGTAGTTTAATTTGTAATTGAAATTTTGTTTGAGGAAGGAATCGACATGGTAATCCACGTGGTGGCAAGTGATGAGAGGAAGAGACTAGAGAGCAACCCTCCTCTTTGATGGGGAACATTAGAGGATTCGTAACTCTCTCTCTCTCATCATCCATCAATGGAATTCCTTTCTTCTTCAATTTGTGTTTGTACTATGTCTAGCTATATTCCTCAGAAGGGATGTTGATGCATTTCAATTATGAACCATGTACAAAGAATGATAAAATGTTTCATTCAATTGGGTCACCTTTTGTGGTTATATACGAGTGTGTTTTGGCAACTGTTTTAGTTAGTGTAAAAAAAAACTACTACTTTAAATTGTGTATTAAATAAGATAAATATTTATATATATATATATATATATATATATATAAGAATTTATTGAGACTCGGTGTTAAATTAATAAAATAATAATTCTAATAATTTTTTATAAAATATAAATTTAATCAATTAAACTGTTATATCTGATAACACTCATGGTTATATATAAAATTTTAAGTAATTTGATGAAGTCTTCTATATATATTATCTAATAATAAATATTTATATGTATTTTAAATATCATTTTATACAATAAAATAAAATAATATGATAGATTATAAAATAATTTTAAAATTATATGCAATTTGGTTTTTTTTTTACCATACTAGAGTAATCTTCAAAACATATTATCAAAATGGGATTGAATTTTGAAACAATTTCCCACCTTGAAGTGTTCAACGGGAGATGTCGCTAGTTATAAGTCCAGTGACACCTCTGTCACGTTACTTTTAAAAATAAAATAAAAACAATTGTCTGAAAGTGACTTCAATCGGGGCACATGGCACTGACGTTGTTGTAGCCAATAACAATACTTGTTAGCTGCAGTGACTTAAATTTTTAATTGTTTTTACTATTGTTGCAAGACATTTTTGTGTTAGTGAACTTCAATGACACTATTATTTATTAGATTTAAATATAATTTTTTTTCATATAATTTACTGATTTTTTTTTTGATCTCTATAAATTTTTAGGTTTTTTTTTTGTTCGTCCCTGGAGTATCCACCGCCGATAGCAGTGACTAATCTCCTCACTACGTTGGAGGCACCTCAAAACGTGGAATAGCTGGCCCCAAGATTTAACAAGGCTGCATGCATACACAAGGCAGGATTCGAACCCCTAACCTTGCTTAAGCGTGGATCAACCCCTACCGCTGAACCACACGCTTAGGGTTAAATTTTTTAATTTTAGTCTCACTTTAATTTTTTATTTCAATTTAGTCCCTAATAATTTAAATTACTGCAATATCGGACCTTTCGTCCAAATTTCTTAAACGGAATTAACTGTTGGTCACGTGGATGCTACGTAGATGCATAGGTGGATGCCAAATTTCTTTAAAGCACCTGGAACCAGAACGGTCCGTTCTGAAACCAGAACGGCCCGTTCTGGTTGCACATGTTGTGTGTTAATTTTGCATCTAGAACAGTCTGTTCTAAATGCATTAGTTAACGCAGAACGAGTACAGCAGAACGGGCTATTTTGAAACTAAAACGGGTCGTTCTAGTTTTAGAACGGCTCGTTTTAGATTCAAAACGGGTCGTTCCAGAACGCCAACCACATACATGAATTCAACAAAATGTAGCAATGTGGTTCAAAGATTGAAAACAAAAATTCATAACATAATATAAATTTAAAGACTGAAATATGGTTCAGAGACTGAAAACAAAAATTCAAAGACTGAAATATTGTTGTTGTTGGGGTATATCGGTCAATGACTCTAAGGGGAAACACCATGTCGTTTCATCCTTGTCTGTATAGTACCAATTTGGTAGTAAGTGGTTCACTCCAGTTTGACTAATAATAAAATAAAACTTGTCACCATTGTCCTTAATGATACATTGCACTACATAACAAGTATTATAATTAATACTTCTAGGAGCTCCTATATCCTGCAATTGGTCCATAAATGGTATATAGCCCAAATGTTTAGCAATTGAAGTTATAAATCCCCCATTGACAATATTACCAAATCCAGTGTTTGAAATATTTTGTACCTTGGAGTTTTTTTCCTTGCACAATTCACAACCGTTTCTGTTTGGCATTCTAGAACTAGAACGGCCCGTTCTGAAACCAGAATGGCCCGTTCTAGTTGCACTTGTGGTGTGTTAATTTTGCATCTGGAACAGACCGTTCTAGATGCAAAATTAACACACAACATGTGCAACCAGAACGACCTGTTCTGGTTTTAGAACGGGCCGTTCTAGTTCTAGGTGCATTAAAGAAATTTGGCTTCCACCTATCTACGTGGCATCCACGTGGCCAACAGTTAACTCCGTTTAAGAAATTTGGACGGAAGGTCCGACATTGTAGTAATTTAAATTATTAGGGACCAAATTAAAACAAAAAATTAAAGTGGAACTAAATTTAACAAAAAATTAAAACAAAAAATTGAAACTTTAAAATATTATAAGGGACCAAATTAGGTATTTAACTAAATTTTTATGTTTTAAAGATAATTCTTACTATCAAATACCATTATAAAAAAAATTCTATATGACAAACTAGAATATATATGATATTTGTTATATTCTATTTCACTATCGTTTTGTAGGTAAATTAATTTTAAATTTTTTTAGACAAAATTTGCAAATACATTTCACTGCATCCAAACCTTCTTCCTCATTGTTGTGGCCATGCTTCTCCTCTTTGATCTAAATTTAACATTGGAAACCCTAAATCACCAACCCAAACCTTAATACCCGATAAGGAGTAGTTTCTCATAATCCCCACTATTTATAGCAACACAGAGTTCGTCCTTAACGATCATCGCCTCTGCGAGGTCATCACTAAGCCACCACATTATGGAGGAATTTGATCTCACGCTCTGCTTGTCCATCATTGTACAAGAGTTCATGCACTGCAAGAGCGTCTACCACTCCATTGGTACCATTACCAATGTCGCCTCCTCCAAGACTAAGAAGAATTGGGTCGGTTCACTCAAGACCATGCATCTTCACTACCTACCACGATTTCCACAACAATGACAAACAAGATACCTCATCGAACATGAGAAATTGATGGTCCAACTTTGCTACCGATGACAACAAAGACACAATGTTCCATATTTTAAAAAGGGTGTACATGAAGAGTATGATAAAGTGATAACAACAAAGTGCATTTTAAAATTTTATCTAAAAAAACTAAAATCAATTTATTTGACAAAGGTGAATTACAATATTATAAATATGAGGCATTTACCACAAATTTTTTTTAATAGAAATTGACAATGAAGACTATTTTTGAAATATTATGAAAGGTTAAATATGAAATTAAAAAAATATAAAGATTATAAGTAAAAAAAAGTGATAAATTACATAAATGAAAATCATATTTAAATCTTTTAAAAATGATTTATCGGTCATTTCTATTTTCTTTGCAATAAAAATTTCACTCGTCCGTTATGAACAAAACAAGCAGATACAGTGATTTGGATTATGTCGTGTTATTGAAAAATGATTTTTTGTTATTGTGTTTAATGAATAATAAAATAGAAGAATGTTATGTATTCGGAAACAAATGTACCATTTCGAACTATTCAATTATTTACATTCGTAAAATAGTTTAAATAAAATATTTTTAATTTTATTATTTTAAAGCTTTAAGTATTTGAAGGATTTTTCAACCATAACTTTTTATGAGGATGTATCATTTCTGAATAAAATATAGTCATCAAAGGTAGACATGAGTTTTATAGAATATAATGATTGAGTCCTACGACTACGTAGTAGGTTTGTTATATTTGTTAATTTGATCGGTCAATAAAATAATAACTAGAGTAGGCAATATCGGATGGCAATGGCGCGGTAGTAAGATATCCATATCAATTCCTTCGGATAAAAACTTGTTTCCTATTTGTTATATATATATA